GTGCGTGGTCTGCGCGCGGTGTATCTCCATGCATGTGTGTGGTCTGCGTGCATGGTCTGCATGCGGTGTGTCTCCATGCATGCGTGGTCTGCGTGCGGTGTGTCTCCATGCGTGCGTGGTCTGCACGCACGTGTGTCTGTGATGCGAGGTCTGTTGGGGCCTGCTTCTACCCGTGTCCTCTCCCCTAGGTCGTACGTCCAGTGTCAGGGGATCCCTCAGGGCTCCATCCTGTCCACTCTGCTGTGCAGTCTGTGCTACGGGGACATGGAGAGCAGGTTGTTTCCTGGAATCCAGCAGGATGGGTATGGATCCCTCGTGGTGTGTGTGTGGACAGGGCCATACTCGTGGCTTTGTGTCAGGTCATGTGGGAGGTAGTGAGCAGGTCTTGAATGGAGGCTTAGAAGTGGCATCTAGTATGGCCAGGGCCTGAGCGCGTTTCCACGGGCTTCTGACCCACGGCTGCACCCCCGCCCGTGCGTCCCCGGCTGCAGCCACGTCCCACGAGGAGTGTAAGCCTTTGTCTAGATTCTTCGCAGGAGGTTACTTTATCCTTGTCCTTGTGAACTAGGGTATTTAAGTTTCTTGGACGTCCGGGCCCTTGCTGCAGCACCCAGCGCATCTGTCCCCTTGTAGGGTGCTCCTGCGCCTGGTGGATGACTTCCTGCTGGTCACGCCTCACCTGACACAGGCGCAGGCCTTTCTCAGGTAGGCCCCCCACGCGCGCGTCTCCACAGCACTCCTGATGCCCATGAGCAGCTGACCTGGCTCGCTGCGGGGCAACAGCTCCCCCCTTACGAGATGGATTTACATCTGTAGGGTGTCCTGTGCAGGCTGCTGTGTGGACGGTGGCCCTCGGGCATGCCTGCAGGACTCTCGGTCCCTCTGAGCCCTGGGACTCCCCTGCGGGCAGGCTCAGGGTGACGGGTTTGTCCAAGGACAGCCGGCAACTAGAGCCAACACCCTGCAGTTTACGACTTTCTCCTTCCCTGGAAAAGACTCCTGGGGCCTGAGAAGGACGGCGCTGAGGACCGCACATGCCCGATTTAATTCTGGCAAAATAACCCACCCCCCTGTGGCCCCCAGGCCTCGAAGCACCACCGTTCAGCAAGCCCAGGCGGACGTTCCTCCCACATGGCCTGCAGGGAGGAAGGGGAGCCACAAGAGCTCACTCGCGGCCTCACTTCTGTTCCCGCGTGTGCAGCGCGGCCCCGTCCGCTGTCCGCCCACTGCAGCACACGCCCCAACTTCCAAGGGGCCTCCGGGGAGGCAGCCCTGTCCCCAGGGCAGCACCCACGCCTGGCACTGTGCCCGTGGCTCTGGCTCGGTGCCCATGGCCCTGGCACTGAATGAGCCCCGGCGGTGTGCCCCTCTCTTCCGGTGGCTGACCTGTCTCTCTGCAGGACGCTGGTCAGGGGGGTCCCCGAGTACGGCTGCATGGCCAACTTGCAGAAGACTGTGGTGAACTTCCCTGTGGAGGACGTTGCCCCGGGCCGCACGGCCCCCCTGCAGCTGCCGGCCCACTCCCTGTTCCCGTGGTGCGGCCTGCTGCTGGACACCCGGACCCTAGAGGTGTCCTGCGACTACTCCAGGTGAGCGTGCCCACACGCAGACGCCCCCGTCTCTGCGAGCAACGGATGGGTCACAGGTCAGGTGCCCAGCGTCCGTCCAGACGGGGTGGCAACGTACCCTCCTTGGGGTCGGGCGCACTTGCTACGCGAGCAGTTTTCTGGGCTTTTGTTGGAATTTGTGCCGGAGACTTGGGGCTCACTGGTGTGTTCTGCAGGGATGCTGTGTAGATCTGAGGTCAGGGGTTTGGGGACCTGCTGGACACAAGCTCCTTAGGACGGGGCCACCCCATAACGCACACCGTGGCCTCCCTGGGGAGCAGGGCTATGGTGCACGGGGCCTGCCGTATACGCGGTACATGGGACCCTGTGCTGGCGAGCTTGGGCCGCTGTGAACAAGACCGCCGACCAACAGCTCCTCCGGACTTTCTGCTTTCACGTCATGGAGGCTGTGAGTCCGAGATCTGCCTGCGGGCAGGGTTGGTTCCCCTTGTGTTCTCCACCGTCTCCCTGTGTCCTCACGTCCTTCTGCGTTCAGGCACGTCTGGCATTTCTCTTCCTCCAAGCACATCAGTGCTGTTGGGTCAGGGCCCACCTATGACCTTAGTCTTAATTGCTTCTTACAGACCCGGTCCCCACACACAGTCGTGTGGGTTAGGGCTGTAAGATGTGGACTTGGGGACCCAGTACAGCCCCTCACGGCCAGTTTCCCCTGAGCCTGAGAGGCCCCAGCCCAACCTCGGGCTTGCCCCAGACACAGACTCAGGACAGACGTGGATGCAGGAACCTGCTCTTGTATGAACATGAAATACTGATTCCACAGCCATGCTGGAGGGCGGGCCTTCCCTTTGCTAGTCGGGGACTCTGCTGTCCTGGCTTGAACGCACCCGGTTTGTTTCCACGGTGCACTTTCTGCTCTCCCAGCCCACTCTGCTGCCCCCACCTCCACACATGGACCCACATTTGTGCTTCTGCATGCAAAGCCCAGGCCCCTTTCCTGCCCCCGCCGCCCACCACCCCCATCTTTGGTTGGTCTCATCCTTGGGACTAGGCTCAGACTCCCCAGCTTCCAGCCCTCCCTCGCCATCTGACCCCAACCACACCAGTTGGTCATGAACGGCCCACCACCGTTTGCTCCCCAAAAAGCTATGGCCCTTTGGGGGACAGGCACCACCATTCCGGGGGACTCTCACCGGATGATGACAGTGCCCGAGAGTGCGTGTGCAGCCGTGCTTCCACAAGACCTCTCAGCATGAGCCTGTTCACGGGTGCAGCCCTAGGGCTGGGCTCTGGAGGCAGAGGCGCCTGGAACCCCGCAAGGTGTCCTGCCCAGGGGGAGGAGACACGAGGGGGAGGGGAACCGTCCTGGAAAGGACAGTGACAAGGCGGGCTTGTCTCGCGGACTTCCGAGTCTTCCCCAAACCCCAGCTCAGGCGAGGCGGCCAGAGTGCCGGGGCCACCCTCGCGAGCATGAGAGTTTGCCGTGCTGCGCAGGTGGAAGCAAAGGGAGGACTGGCCTGGTTGTCTGAGAAAACCAACTAGGAGCAGCCAGCGTGCCTCAGCTTTGCGTCACGGTGCACCCAGGAGCAAGTTCTGGGTGTGCACAGGAACAGAACAGCAGGGACAGAGTAGGAGGACTCAAAACAGCTGGATGAAGGTCCTCTGACCTGGCGCAGGGGATGAGTAAGCAGGACTGGCAGACCGGAAAGGAAGCAGCGAGCGGCTCTGAGCACCTAGGAGCCCGAAGCCTGCGGGCAGACGGTAGCCGCGCCTCTGAGCACGAGTGGCCTCGCTGAGCCCGGTTAGGTGGGGCCCACTGCTACTTCTCAGATGCATCCTTTCGGCTCAGACGAGGGACCTGCCCCCGGTCACCCAGCTGCACGGGACTCAGGATTCGAACCCGGGCCTGGCTCCAGGGCCTCCCTTCCTTCTCCGCAGAGGTTGGACATGGAGGCTTGTAGCGAGGCCACGGTGGATGCCACAGGGAGGAGAGGGGGCGGCGTGTGGAGGGGCTCCCGCCAAGCTCTGTCCACCCTCCAGAGAAGCCCCTATCCCAGGCGCCCACGCTCCCATCAGGCCCGGGCACGTGGGCACGTTTCTGAGGGCTGGGCAAACTGCACCGACTTCTCTGGAAAGCAGCAAATTTGTATTAAAGTCCTTGAAACATTCATATATTTTCCCAGTAACTGCACTTCCAAAAATCTGTCCTCAAGGAACAAAAATCATGGACATCATCAGAGATTTTGCTTGACTGTTTGATTGGGCAGCAAATGAAACCCACCTCAATGGCCAGGTGGATGTCACGCCTCACCCAGAAGAAACTTTATCCTGCCCTTGAAATTGCTGTCAAAAAATATTCAATAAGATGAAAAGTTGATTTTGAGGTTAGCGTGTTCGAAGCTGGTGCTGAGGAATACCTCCCCGGGCACAGAATACACGGGTCACGGGGGCATTTCAGGTGCGTAGGTGCAGGGATGTGGCGTGGTTGGGGCACCCACCGGTGTTGCTGGTGCTGAGCGGGCGACTTTCCTCCCATTTCCTGCGTCTTACGTGTTTCCCACCTTGAGACGGCGTCAGTCTCGTCCACAGGGTCAGGCTGTGGTGGGTGGGGCGGCCTCCTCCTGCGAGGAGCCCTCCGGGCTGTGGCCTCAAGGTCCCGTGTGGCCAGAGCTGCCCCGCCGAGCCTGAAGAGACCCCACCCAGCTCGGACCCTCTCCCAGGAAGGCACTCAGTCAGGAGTGTGTTTGCTGTGTGATTAACGCATTTGGTTGAATCCCGTAGATTTTATTGGTGCTCTGTGCTGTTTGTCACTAACAAATGAACGTGTACATGACCCAGACTGTGGCCCGGATGTGTGTGGTGTGTGAGGGACCCACCCTGTCTGAGTCCCCCGTGCTCTCTGCTCCCACCGCCTGTGGCCTGGGCATGGGCGGACACACGCATGTGAGGTGTGATCAGGGTGCAAATTTGACAGCATAGGCGGGTGGGCAGGCTGGGTGCTGCGAGGAGGACTCGCCACTCAGGGCCTCCTGCTCGGTCCCACAGCTACGCCCAGACCTCCATCCGCTCGAGCCTCACCTTCAGCCAGGGCGCCAAGCCCGGGAGGAACATGCGGCGCAAGCTCTTTGCGGTCTTGCGGCTAAAGTGCTGTGCTTTGTTTCTGGATCTGCAGGTGAGCGCATGGCCGGCAGGTGCCCACGGGCCAACTCCTACCCGCGCGGCCTGTGTGGTTGACAGCACGCATGCGCCAAGCATACAGGTGTTTGTGTGAGTGCATGTGTGTGCATGCATGTGTAAGCACGTACATGATGCGAATGCCCTCACCCCTGCCTGAGCCCATCGTTCCGGGCGCTGGGGCGCCTCCCCATGGTGAGGTCCGAGGCGTGGGGGCTCAGGCTCTAGAGCTGCTTGGCGCTCACCTCCTTGCCCCTCCCTGCCTGTCCTTCCCACCAGCAGCCCCTGCCACCACCACCCAGCGCCGCTGCCTTCTGCCTCCCTTTGACCTGGTGATGAAGTAAGACAGAAATCTAAATTCTAGATGTATCTGCAGCATTTCTCTTTCTTTGTGACCCAGGTGAACAGCGTCCACACAGTTTATACAAACATTTACAAGATATTCCTGCTGCAGGCCTACAGGTGGGTTCCCCGGCCGCATGGCCACAGGCGGCAGGCCCACCGTGGCCCCAGCCCTCCCTCGGCCGGGAGAGCATCCTGCCCTCCTGTGTCCCAGCTTATAAGGATGAGGTATTTGCCAAGTTTTCAGCCGCAGACGCTGCAGCTTCGTGAGTGTGCGTACGTACATCTCGCGTGGGGGAGGCATCCGTCCTGTCACCAGGCAGCGGTGGGTGGTCAGCGTGGCCTGGGGTGTCCCCACTCCTGAGCACTGACCCGGGACCTCGCAGGGGCTGGGGACATGAAGCAGGTGCGGGCGGTCCACATGTGGGGGTGGAAGGCAGACACCACAGGGCTTGGGTCCCAGAGAGTGGAGGATCAGGTGGGTACCGGTGAGGGTCGCGGCCCTCTGATGTCCCCCAGAAAGGGGTGGTGGGATGTGGCCCCCAAACAGCCCAGAGGCCATTCCTGCCCCACTAATGGAACGTCTGAGGCCCCGTGTGCTTTTGGAACGTTCTTGGCCCCTGGATGGCTCCAGGTCACCCTGCTGAGGACTGGGGTGTGGCTGGGCAGCTGGGGGGCCCTGGGTGCTTGTGCTTTCCTACAGCTCTTGGGGGAGGGGTCACTTCCACCTCAGACCATGTTGACCATGGGGTCACGGTGGCCGCCCTGGCCTCGGGGACACAAAGCCAGGCTTTGCTCTGGTTTACAAGGGAGACCTGTCCCTGGCCACTCAGGGGAGCCGCTAACTTGCAGCCGCAGTCAGGACAGATGGACATGTGAGCCGCGGGGCGGACAAGGGGCCAGGCATCCGTGTAGAGCCTGGGCGAATGTGTGTGACCTGCAGTTGTGCGTGTGCTGTTTCCAAACCTGGCTTTGGTCTCCACAGGTGGGAAAGTACTTCCCACCTCAGTAGGGTTATCATGCATGTGAAGTCAGATAGCTGGCAGAGCGACACGCGGGCACATTACTCCAGAAGTGGCGCGGGTGGTCGGTGAGGCCGGGAGCACGAGGTACCTGGGGAGGGGCTTCTCGTGCAGTCCCGTGCACATGCGGTCACATAGGGACACGTGCACACACGCTCACACATGCATGCACACACACGGGGATACATGCACACACAGACACACATGCATTCACACACACACGCGTGCACACGTCCCAGCCAGGGGACTCTCCTCTGACAAAGCATCCCTTCGCCAGGTTCCACGCGTGTGTGCTCCAGTTCCCGTTCAACCAGCCAGTGAGGAAGAACCCCTCCTTCTTCCTCCGTGTCATCTCGGACACCGCGTCGCACTGCTACTCCCTCCTGAAAGCCAAGAACACAGGTGTGCACGGGTGGGAAACTGGGCACGGCAGGCGGGTTTTGAGGGGTCCCCCGTAGTGCGGCAATGCACGGGATGCTCCCCTGCACGCTTCCAACACAGCGCGGCCGTGCGCTCAGGGACCTCCCCCGTCAGGCTTGGGCGTGTTGGCGCCCCTTCCCTCGGGGCCCTCGGCCTCGTGCGCAAATACAGGCCAGTGGTGGGGAGGAGGCCACGCCCCACGCCTGTCCGCAGCCCGGCCTTCCCCCCGGGCGTCCCCGTCCCCGTTCCCCACAGCTCCATCCAGCAAGCACCTGGCCGGTCTGCAGCTCGGGCTGGGCTGTGTCCCTATGATCCTGGTTACTTCCGTTTTGTGGGAGTTGCTTCTGAGAAGGGGGACAAAGCACCAGCTGTCAGGGATCCCCAAGCCTGTGTTGGGGCTGAACTTGAAACAAAATTGTCCGTCTGCCCGCCGGCCTCTGCCCCTGCTCCCCCGCTCGTGGGGGGCGGGACAGAGACCCCAGGCAGCATCGGGCACATCGGAGCATGTGGTCTTCTGGGCGGGGCCTTAGCCTGTGTCCTTGGGTCCCCCCAGGGATGTCCCTGGGCGCCAAGGGCGCCTCCGGCCCGTTTCCTTCTGAGGCTGCACGGTGGCTGTGCCTCCATGCCTTCCTGCTCAAGCTGGCCCGTCACGGTGGCACCTACAGGTGTCTTCTCGGGGCTCTCCGGGCAGGTAAGTGTGAGGCACCCCTTCGTGCAGGTGCAGGGCCCTGTCCTGCCGTGTGCATACCTGAGCCGTGTCTGGGCTCCCCCGTGTCTGGATGGCGGTGGGTGGGTCCAGGAGCCCCCAAGGGGTGGGATGCAGGTGCCCTGGGGTCGTGGGCTCTCTCAGCCCAGAGTCTGGCACGCCCGCCCGGTCACTCCACCTTTGCACACCTCACCTCCTGTCTGTGGGGAGAGGCCAAGGCCCCACTCCCTCCGGCCCTGCTAGCCTGGGTGTCCTCTACACCCCCGACCCAAGTCCCCAGGCCTCTGCCCTGGCCGCCCCTACACGGGCAGAGGGATCCCCAGCGGCAAGTCCCGCCCGCCCCACCTGGCACCCGGAGCCTGGCCTGCACGGGGCAGGCACTCAGCACACAGACCTTGCCTGCCTGGCCTGCAGCGGAATCCCGAGGCCATGGTGAAGGTCGGCTTCTTCCGGGGCATTCTGATGTCACTCGTCCTCTTACAGCCAAAGCACACCTGTGCCGGCAGCTCCCGAGGGTGACGCTGGCTGCCCTGGAGGCAGCAGCTGACCCCAGCCTGACCGCAGACTTCAAGACCATTTTGGACTGACGACGGGTCCTCCCAGCCCAGAGTGGCCTCCAGGGCCCCTGAGCCCCAGTCCGTGTGCCTTCACGCGGTGGGACGGGCCGGCTCACCTTCAGGTCTCGGCCCTTTCTCCCCTGAGACTCTGAGACTTGAGCTGCTGGTTGGCACCCCCAGGAGAGGTTGGCCCCCGTGTCATCGGGGAGGAGAACACACCCAGCACCCTCTTGTGATCAGGGTTGTTCTTCAGCCACTGGCTGCCAGGAGGGGGCAGGCAGGAGCACCGGGCTGGCGTGTCCGGTCTGTCTGGACCTTTGTCACCCCCACGGGGGACTGCCCCAGTCTGCACACGTGTCCCGAGGGCGCTCGGCAGTGGGTGTGCTCTTTCCCGCTACCTGCACAGGCCTGGACTGTCCCCGCCCGCCCCTGGCCGTCCCCTGTGCCGCGTCCAAAGTCTGTGTCCCGTGGAGCTTTCCCCAGAAGCTAATGTCCAGTCAGCTGTTCCAGACCCATCCCCGCCCATCCTTGGGACCTCGCCCTGCGCCCCCCACACCCTGCTCTGGCCTCCTGGAGCCTGAGTGTCTGGCCCACCCCACGTGCCGCCAACCCCACTTCTGACTCTTCCCTGCCGGTCCCTGCTCTGCACACAGTGGCCCTGGGTCTTCCTGGTGGCGCTCCTCTGCATGGCCTCCGCCCCTGGACCTGCCACCTCCGGTAACTCCTGGGGAGCCACAGAAGGAACATGCCGAGCCTTTGCTCTTAGAGGCTTCCATTTACCCGTGTTTGTATTAAAACGCATCCTGCGTGAGGCATGCATACCATTTTTCATAATTACATCCGCGCCTGTGTCCACACGTGATGTGCAGGGTCCTTGGCCTGGGGGGGGGGGTCCCAGGGGTCTTCCTGGGGCAGGGATGTGAGGGCGGGAGGGGGGATTGGGAAAGGGCACCCCCCCGGGGCAGGTGTGGCAGGGCAGTGGGCCAGAAGGCCCCGCCCAGCACTTAGCCCGTCTACAGCTGGCTCTGGCCCTACTGTGGACCCTGGAAGGGGGTGGGCAGCAAGGGCCTGATGCCCAGAACACTGGATTCCCTTCTAAGCACATTTCTCTGGCTTCACAGTATCCAGGTGATCTCCTTCTGGAGGGTTCCTTGGAGTGAGCGGTGGGGGCGTGATACAGGGGTTTGGGAGGTAGGTGGTAGCCCACTACCCCACATCCAGCCCTGCCCCACCCCCGGGCTGCTGGTCTCCTGCTTCTCTGTCCTGGACCTGGGCAGGTGGATGTGCCTGCCCACCTGCCCCCATGTGTCCCCTCCATCACCTGGGGACTCCCGGGGATGGCCCTGCCCCTCCCCCATGCTGCATCCTGACCACGGTAGGGTTGCTTCATTCCTGTTTAGCTGAACTCCGGGGCCGTGCTCATGGCGAGCAGATGCCTCGGCAGCAGCACTTGGGCCTGGAGCAGGTGTGGGGATGTGCTGTGCAGGTGGAGCTGCTTGAGCGGGGCAGCCGGCTTCTCTGCTCTCGCACCTGGGAGCCCCCCAGGCTGGGGGACAGCAGAGGCCACAGGAAGGGCCAGGTTTGGGTGTGGTACTCAGGGTCACAGGTCGCGGCTCTGGCGGGGGCTAAATTGAGGATCTCAGGGGGACTGAGGCCCCACAGGCTGTGGCAAGAAGGGGTCAGCCTGACTGGGCAGCAGCAGGGTGGCCCTGACAACTTTTTGGGAGAGGCAGGGAGCTCACGGGTGACCTGGAAGATGAGGTGGTGGATGTCAGCCTGAGCTGTCCTGGGGGCTTGAACTGCACAGGTGCCCCCCCCAACAGACTTATGCTTCAGCAAATCTGGGAAGGGCCTGGGATTTGCACTTCTAGGGAGTTCCAGGTGCTGCTGGTGGGGTGGGGGACCCCACGTTGAGAACCCTCCCCCCGCGGGGAGGATGGGCTGCCCTGAGCAGCGGCCCCAGGGACGCAGCAGACAGCGGTGGCTCCAAGGTCAGGGTTAGGAGCTTGGAGGTGGGTAGAGGACAAGCTTGTGGGGGAAGTGGCTGGGGCCACCAGGGAAGTGGCCAAAGGTCGTGGAGGGTCAGGAGACTCGCCCAGGGCCCTTGGCCTCCTGGCCAAAGCCTCACCTAATAGCCCCTGTGAGGTGCCCTGGACAAAATGTGTTGTGCATGCAGCTGCAGGCTTTCTCAGGATGACAGGCTGAGCTCTGCCCTGGCTTGATCATGGTTGAGGACGAGCCCATGTGCGGGGGACACTCGCATACCCATCCAGAGCACCAGGCAGGGGCTGCAGTGTGCATGGGGGGAGCCATGCAGGGTGCTGGACGGATGTCCTTGAGCAGATGGGAAGATCTGGAAGGACTGCACAAAGAGCAGGAGGGGAGCAGCCCAGGGGCATGTAGCCTGTGAAGAAAGGGCCCCGTCAGGGAGCTGGCTGTCTGCCCTGTCCCCTATGATAGCGGGAAGGCTTCCTTCCGGGATGTCTCTGATGGGGCCACATGATGTGTGGCAGGATGCCATCCAGTGTGCCTTGGATGGGGGTGGTGCTAACGCAGCCCAAATTTTCAGGGCACAAGTGCATCTCATGTCAGGGTTTATGGATATTGCCTTGTTACTGTTGCTGTGCAAAATGTCCAAGAGACTGAGCTGACACATTTATGGCAGACCCAAGTCCACGGAGCGGGCCATAAAGGCACCTGAGCTGAGCAGTGCAGAACTGGGCCCTGCCCAACCCACATGCCAACCCTGCCGCGGTGGTGCCCGCACTGCCATAAACAGGGAGGACTGACCTGCCCTGCTGGGGCAGACAGAACCCGCGGGGACACCGCCAGGACCCCACACCAGGCACCTGAGCTGACCCGCCACTGGTCCCCACCTGCTCACATGCCCCACAGGCCTGTTCCTGGCATTTGCATCACAGACCAGACCCTAGAGGTCAGCCGCTCAGCCATCTGTCCTCCAAGAGCTCCAGAGTCTTCTCTGGTAAAGGCATTCTGTTGGCGTTTTACTCAGGATTATGTATTCTTACTGAAGTGTTAAACCATTGAAAAGACGGGTGCTTGGTCAGGGTCAGCTCACTGAAAACTCTTTCTGGTTCATCTCCTTAAAACCAGTATGTGCACGGCCAAACCTCCTCCCGGTGAAACATGAAAATAAGATTTTTAAAGCAAAGGAAAAAACCTAGTTTTCTGGTCTTCCCTTGATCTAAGCTGCACATTAGAAAGCTCACTTACTGATGTGTTCTGCGGAAGTGTAGGCAGCGGGTGGAGCTCAAGATGAGTGGTTTAAGAGGAGGCACAGATGGTGCCTCCTGGACCTCCCAAAGTGCTGAGCGATTATGCCCCGCCCCCAGCCCCAGTTCCCGCCCCTCCCCCACCTGCCATCCCCCAGGCGTGTGCTTGCACCTGGACACACGGGTGCTCACCTGTGAGGACACTAAAGGACTTGCCAAACCTGGGTGGGCTCAGAATCACCAGGGCTCTGTGAGAGGTGGAATAATGACCCCCCCCCAAGGCACCCACGTCCTAATCCCAGAACCTGGGAGTATTACCTGACATGGCCAAGGGGAATTATAGGTGCGGGTGGGATTAGGTAGCTAGTCAGTTGACCTCGAGATGGGGAGGTCATCCTGAATTATCCAGGTGCACCAGGGTAATCCCAGGGTGAAGAGAGGGTGTCAGAGAGACGTGGGTGAGAAGGACTCACTGGCCTTGCTGGCCTCTCGATGGAGGAAGGAGCCACGAGCCAAGGGTGTCAGAGCATGGGGGCCGAAGTGCAGAACTCACCCTTCCCAGGGGGCTTGGGGCACACTTCAGGGGGCGCTCTTGGGCTAACTCCATTTTAATACTCAGCTCCTCTTAGGGCACAGTAGTGCAGGCGCTTCTGTTTCCTGGGGTCTGGGCTGCCTGTGACAAGGACAGCCCCAACAGGCGCGCCTGGACGGGCTCATCTGGGGATTTGTTCAGCACCCTGGACAGCGTCTGTCCCGCTGGGGATTAGTGGGTTCTGGGTCTTCACAGGGTTTGATCCCAGCAGCATGAAGGGCATACACGGGCTCCAGTGGCAAGTCAGAAGCAAGCCTGTGTGTCGGGGCCCACACCTTAGACCTGACCCCTGGTTTATGGAGGAGGGAGAGAGGATGGAGGGGGGCAGGGAGGAGATGGTGGATGGATAGATGGATGGATGGGGAGGGAGGGGTGTGCAGGAGGGCAGGTGGAGCTGGGCGAGGAGGCACCCCTCCACTGAGGCTGCAGGAGAGCTTGGTGTGGAGTGAGCGATAGCCCTCCTTTGGAGACGGTAGGAATCTGAGAATCAGCCTTTTTGTACCTTCTTGACACACATTTGAGTCTCTGAGAAAATTTTTAAAGAACAAAGAGTGGTGTTTCTCAGCAGTGAGGTCGGAGCGGCCAGCGCTTGGTGATGCTGGCTGTGGCTATAGCCACACCCCAGCCCCTGCCTGTGTTCACGCAGAGGGGACCCGTCCTGGGGCAGGAGTGGCCAGGCTGCAGGTGCAATGAGGATTCCCCGCACACGAGGTTGCCCAGGCCTGGGCCTGGACACAGACCGGGGCTCCTGCTGCCTGAGAGGGTCAGTACAGGTCCCAACAGAGCCTGCCGATGCCTGAGTGCTCTCGGCACCAAAAGGGGCTTCCCTTTCTGCTCTCCAAGGGGACAGCCTCCACTTTCCCTTGGAGATCACCCTTCAGAGTCCCTCAACTCTGGTGATGCCAGCCCCCAGCTGCAGAGGGCGTGGATGTGAGCCTCCTCGGAGGCCACTCTGCCAGCTGCTGGGCCTCTGCGCCTGCCTGCCCTTCTGCCCACAGATGGACTCGCTGGGCACAGCGTCCGGGCCCCAGACAGCTCTGTGCCATGCCACAGAGGGCAGGGCCCTGGGGGCTGGACCCCAGGCTCTCTCCCATCTGGAGGGACAGCATGCCCCCTGCTGATGGAGCTGGGCTGTGCCGGGGGCAGGGTCTGCGGAGTGCAGTGGTGTTAGGAAGCAGCAACTACAGGTCAGGGTCTGGGCCAAGTGTGTAATGGGGTCCAGTGGCACACAGGCTGGTCCTCCCTGTACCGCCCCCCACCTCCGGCCCGGCCCTCAGCTGGCCCCTCTGTCCTGCAGCTTCGGGCACCTGTCCTGCCAGGCGTCCTGCTTCTGTCTGCGCTTGGCAAGCCTCTGGACCAGTGCCACAGCCGGGACCCACAGCGAGGGCAGGAAGCACAGGAGGACGCACATGGCCTGCACCCAGCCCGGGTAGGACTTCTCCTGCCGTGAAGGGAACTGTGCCTGTAAGGACATGAAGTCACAGGTGAGCCTTGGGAGGGGCAGGTGAGGCTGACCCTTGGCTGCAGGGACTGAGCGGCATGGGCCAGCCTCACCCTGCCTCTTCCCAAAATGAAGCAGCAGGCTTCTCTAAGTCCACGGTGGGTGCTGGCAGCGAGGACACGGGGCCCCAAAGGTTCGGGTTTGGGGCTGAGCCTCTCTTGGGGATTGGGGCTCTGAGACACAGGCCTGGGATCCGGGGCATTCTACAGAATGCCTCCCACCACCGTGAGGGGCCACACAGCCTCGGGGGCTGCCTTGGCTTGACCTGCGGGGCAGGTTGGGCCCTGTGCCCCACCCCCGTTTCTGTAAGAGGGGGTGACACCACCCACCCGACTTGAGGCACCTCTTTTGAGGTCAACGTGAGGCGCTAGTGTGTGAATCTGATAGGACAGTGTTCATGAAAATTCTTGAGAAGTATGGCGCCATTCCTCCTTCACCTACCCATGGCAATGGGGGCCAGGCCCCTTTCTAAGAAGAACTGGGAACAGAATTA